TAGCTGAAATTTGGATGAAGATACAGCAAAGGAGACTGAGAAGTTAGTTGGACAGATAGGAAGAGGACCATGAGACAAAGGTGTCACAAAAACCTCAGTTTCCTCATCTGTGAAATGAGACTATTATAATAAATTATCTTTAAAATTCCATCCAACTCTAAATAACCTAATGACATAATACTTGGAAAAAACTGATAAGGTGTGCGAAAAGATAGATAAGCATCTTATATACTTTAAGAGTTTCTATCAGTGCATCGCAAATCAGATGACTTTTTTATTATTAAATAAAGAAAATAAGCATTTGCCTTAATATACCATTAACATCTCTATCTAACTTGCAAGGAAAACATTGATATTAATTCAAGTTTTTACTTCAAATGTGAAATGAAAGGCTTTATTTTATCCAAATCAATTAATTATTTTAGGCATCTATCATGTGAAAAACAGGTCTCATCTAAAAAAAAACTACCAGATCTATGTTCTCAAATGCAAAAATATTCATTTCAACATCCATTTTTTCTTAATTTAATCTGATGAATAAATAGAATTCATCATGTATTTATAAAGCATTCAACTTGGATGGCACCAAGCTTTATCTGTTTGAGTAAAACGGGGTAGAGAGAGACAAATATCTGGACATCACATAAAAAGTAGAGTTGTTCAGGGTATTTCAAGAGAAAAATAAGTGCGATTTCATATCACAAATGGGGCGGGAGGCAGGGGGAGGATGTGGAATAGAATAGAAATACTGTCACCATTGTTCAGTGTTCTTTCCATGCAGCATCTGAATTAGGTGGATCTTTTGCAAACTACATAAATAATGGAAGCTCTACTTCTGTAACACAAATGAAACCTGAAGTAGTAATGTCTATGAGGGAAAAGACAAGAGGGTCAGTTTTAAAATAAATATTTGTAGCCTCTGTTTATATTATATTTGAAAAATAGAGTTCAGTAGTACATTCATTTATAACTTATTTTAAGTCAGTCAACAAGCATCTATTAAGTATTCACTGTTAAAGGGACTGCGCTAAGTACTGGGAATACAAATACGATCAAAGCAAAAGACAGTCTCTGTCCTCAAGAGGGTTACATTCTAATGGGGAAGACAACACATAAAAAGGAGCATAAAAGAGGGGAAGGGTAGAAGAAGTTATGGCTGTGAAATACAGAGAATGAAGGATGAATGGTATGGCCCTTCCTCAAAAGAAAGGTTCATGGAAGAACTCACCGATGGGAGAAAGGGTGCACAGGGGCAGACAAAGGAGGAAGGTGAGAAATAGTAGCCAAGTATACAGAATAAGAGATGTTTTTTAAAACAAGTAAGTCTCTTAAAAGAAAATAAACTATATCTATCAGTAGACTTAGAATTTAAGCTCCATGGGAGGAAAGGAGAATTTCACTTCTTTTATTTGTATCCCCAAGCCTGACATACCACTTGCCAGGTGCATAGCAGGCATTTAGTAAATGATTGCTTCTATTATTGGAAGGATTGAGGTACCTTCCAATTCCAAAGTTTAGAATTGTATGATAAAAGGTGAAGTATGATTACAACCACTCCTGTTGAATCACTCTGCTTTGTCTTGGTGTCATGGATAGAGTGCTGAGACTTGGAAATCATAAAGCTGAAATGTTACACTAACCTTTTTGCTAATGAAAACATTCCTTAAGCCAAGGGAAGTGGAAGTAGAAGGGAAAGCAACGTTGTGTTTAGACTCGGCAGTGAAGACTTTACGGCTATTATTTTCACAGTTTAAGTTCTATAGCATCATTTGCCAATTAGAATGAATTTTTGTCATGAAGGACCCAAAGCTAAAACAGGGATTTTCCTCTAATGGTCAGAGCAGTAATTCCCCTATAACATACCTCAAAGGAAAGAGAAAGGGGGAAATCCTTTCATCTCTTGTACGTCCTCCTCCTAATTGAGTACAGGGTCTGATAACATGCAGGACATACTGAAAAAGGCAGGCTCCCAATTAACTGAACATTTATTCTCTCAGATGTCCCAGACTTCCCTAAAGGTCCCTCCTTTTTCTAGTACTAAATTCCTCTAATTTAGTATTATAAATTTGCTGCCTCCTCTTTCTGTGGGATTCGTTAGTTGGCTTTAGTAGACAATAAAGTTTCAGAGGTACATAAACAAAGTCTGGTTATGCTCTGTTACCCGCCAATAAGTGATGGTCCACTCCTGAGCTGAGTGTGTGGGGATCATTAAATGGAATGCAAACCCACAAAGAGCTTCCAATATACAAAAAATTGTCAGAATTTTGGTTATTTCTTAGTTCCTGGAATCAGTTTTATCCACTAGCATGTTTTTCCATTGTTATTCGTATCTTGGACAGCAAGTCATTTAGTCTAACTTCTTTGAGGATATTCAGCAATGCTTGGGGCACCCTGCTATTTTACCTGGAGAAGTCACAGCATTTGCAGCTGAAAACTCTTTCAAAAATGCCCAGTCAACTCTTTCAGGGAGAATAACCTGATTCTGGTCACTAGTATAGTCAGTAATGTCCAATGTAAACTAAAGTCAATAGACCAAAGAACAGGGAGGGAAGGAGGGAAGGAAAGAAGGGGGGAGGGTGAGGGGGGAGGTGGGGAGGGAAGAGAAGGAGGGAGGGAGAAAGGAAGAAGAAAAAAATGCATTTTCTAACAATCATATTGGACTTTCCCCAAGTGGCTACTTGGCATCTCCTTCATAAACTACCAGATTTCTTGCCAGGTCCAAAAGCTGTCCTTTGCTATAAGAATGAAAATTAGTGGCCAGTATTCTGAAAGAAGATTCAACCTGACTTTCAATTTCAGTCCTGCACAAAGAGTAAGAAACCTTGGGCTCACATACAGGACCTATTAACACAGCCTTTCCAGTTTAAATGTGTATTGTCCTTTTCAGTCTTAGTGTTTATACCTATTGGTAATGATGGTCATAATATAGTCATAACTGTCTTCAAAAAGAAAAATAATTAGAGACAAGCACTCTAGCAGGAAATGGGGGAAGGGGGTAGAACCACAAGCACTGAAAGCATATAACATCTTGGAGTCCACTGACCCCTTCAATCTGAATGGCACAATTAAAAAGAGACGACTCTCAGTTTTGCATTGATAAATTCCAGGGGATAAAAAGTGAGGAGCTTTCTCCAGAAATGTACTGAAAAATTTCCTAACTACATATTTTTCATACTTAAATATTATACAACAGTTCATGATGGAGGACAGGGGAACCAAAATTAGATTACTGATAAAAATGGAAGATGACCATCAATATAACCAACTACTCCACTGCTACCCTCAACATACAGAAGTGCTCTGCTTCTTTCCAGGCCCCTTATTATGAGTTTCCTTCCGCCGTTCCTGCCCTATTAAGGAGTTTTCAGTCTAATTAATTACTCTGGTATGAAATCACCAAAAGCTCCTGCTCTTCCAGGTACACATAGGCTCATTAGCATTACATTTAATGAATGGATTATCATTTTAAAAAAAATCTAAAGAAATAAGATGTTTTCAGGTTTTGGAATCAGTCAGCTAATATAATTTAAATACTATGTGACAAGGTGTGAATACATGTTTCTTTAACTATAAGAATATGTATTTTGAAAAAAAATACAGAGAAAATCACTTTAAAAAAGGAAAAATCAAATACTAAGGGCCATAGCCTTTTTGAAAGGTTTGCTTATTATGAAGCCCTAATTTAGTGCATTTTGCTTAGAATAACTGTTCTGTTAATGACCAAATTACAAACAGAAACTGCACTAGGTCAAGATTTGCTCAAAAGAAGAAATACTGCAGTAGTGAATTATGTTATGCCTTCAAAAGATAATTAAATATGGCATATTTTCAAAATTTGGAGCTTCTGAGAGAAATGGTTTTAAAAAAAAATATTACAAGCATTATCATTCTGAAAAAGACTGCGTTTGAAAACTACAAGTAAAATAAATGTGCCAAATGGATTTAAATCTTGTTACCTAGAACATTACATTTTGTAACCATAACCTACACATTTCCCCTTTTCTAACAACTTACCATTGTGCAGTTAGTACATTTATCCTAAGAAAATTCAACAGAATAAAACTTAAATCATAATGACAGTAGAAGTTAACTACTCCTTTAGTTTAACTGTCATTTGTAATAAGACAGAAGTCAAGAAGGATGATGGCCCCACTCGAGTAGGCTATCTTAAAGGGAGAAGAGCAGCTCCAAGATTGAGATCAAAGGACAAACAACAACACTTGTAATAATAGAAAGGGAAGTGATATGGTTATAGATCTAAGCACAGGGCAAGGTAAAACAGGAAAACCACTCATATTTTTTTTTACTATACTAATCATTAATCCAAATTCAAAATAAGAATAATTCGAATACACTCATGAACCAGAAGTTTCTTTTAAAGGGAACCCAAGCTATATTCTCATAAATAATAGAATTTACTACATAATAAGGGGAAGATACTTCAATATTGTATATTCAGTATTTATATATTCTGTTCTTGTGGATTATAGATACAATGAAAACTCTGGCTCCTCAAGAAAAATCAAGAATATTTTTAAAAACAATATTATTAATGTCTTACTTCAGAAATAAGACATTTGGCATGAATGACAGGTATTAGAAAAAAAGTCACTTTCTACTTTTAGTGATAGCATCACAGCCTTGAAAATAGACATTAACTCTTAGACAAGTAGTCACCTTGAATAGCAGAGAATCCGAATTCCATTTATTTCCCACCACTGACCAGTATACAAGAGTAAGTTAGACTGGTGAGAAATCAAAATCTATGTGATAATTTCCCTCTGGAATTTATTAATAAAACTGAAATATTACATGCTGACAACAAATTCTCAAACAAAGTTTGTTTCTTTGAAAATCAATTTTTTTTGTATCACCAAGACAAATGGAAAAGTACTACATTTTAAAGCTATAGGGTAAGTTATCAAACTAATAAGATATTATATATAAATATAACAGTTTGTATCTGTGTATGTTCACACACCTATAATAACATTTATTACCTGTTCTTGCCTTTCCAGCCACTTGTCCACCATGGGATGACTGGCACTCAATGATGAGCGAGCATTATCTCTCTGAAACTGGTTATTCCAGTTACTAGTATCCCGTGGGAGGCTTCGGTAGTTTTCATCTTTCTATTCCAAAAGAAACAAAAAGTGTCTTGTAATAAACCAGGTCTTGCAAATTAACACTGCAACTGGTTTTTGTTTTGTTTTGGTTTGGTTTTGATAGTGCACATACAAAACTCCACAAATACAAAATATGAATTAAAAGATCAGACAAAATCAAGAAATAAGATCTTCTAAGTTACTTCCATAATTGGGATTCATTTGGTCCTAATTAGCTATTAAGAGATCTTAGATACCTGTATAATATAGCATTCTCTGCTTACTTCTTCTCAAGTTGTAAGACTACAGAACCATTGGAAGGTGGCTATCACAACAGAAAGTTGTCCTAATAACTGTACATACTAGAGTGCATTATTAGGTACTTGCACCCAACAAACGTAATCAATTAAACAGACACATTAAAATCCTACTGAAATCAATCTTGTCCTTCATAGTGCCTTTCAAAATATTTATGAAGAAAAGAAAAAATGCTCATAGAATCATCTTTTACAATATTCTCCCTAATTTTTTCTCATTGATTATTTCTCTTCTACTCTGTCTTTGTGATCTTTTACAAGTCACTTGATCTCTTTGGATCAGAGTCTACTCATTGATAAAATGAAGGCATTTAACTTAATGATTTAGAAGGTCTCTTCCATCTCTAAAGGCCTGATTTTGTTTCCTATTTCAGAACCATAATTAGGCCCTGAGGTCTTTGTAAGCATGTCTATGTTTTTTTCTTGTCATATATATGAGCAGCACATTTTGGGGAACAGTCATGAATAGTATCTTCTTTAGCAGAGGAACTAATTTAGATGATGAGATGTAGCATTCTGTAGAATACTATTTAATTATTAGTAAGTGCTTCTGCATATAAGAAAATTTACATATTCTTTCATGCCCCCAGTACAACTAATAAGTCCTATAAATTTCTTGGAATCAGAACTTAATATTGAATACCAAGCACTGAAAGCTAATTTTCATTATTCTGAAGGAAACTAAAATCAGGGCATACTGCAAGGATACAATGACTAAACTTGAATTTTCCCTGCAGTGCAGTAGAGGAAACCATTGGCTATGGGATTTCCCAGTCAAAAAATTCCCACCAAGTGAGAGATCTGTTACCGGGAAATGATTGCTAATATCCTTGTTGGAGGTCATAGCACTTTTTGAATCAAGTTTGAGTTATGTAAACAAAGACTTCAAAGGTGAAAAAAATACGGCGAGGAGTAGTGTGCTTAAATATGCTTTAGTGCAGTAGTGTGCTTAAATTGAACAGGCAGATTCTAGAACACCGCGAAACTACTTTGTAATCTACACTTAGACAATATGTTTATGAGGTAGGTACTGTAATTATTATCATCCCCACTTGATAGATGAGGAAATGCCTCAGAAGCATAAATGGCATCTCTATATTCACATTACCAGTATGGAGAAAGATGAGGTTAAAGGATAACTTCTGACTACAAGTTCAGTTCTTTTTCCAACTTTATGGAAGCTAATAACCAAAATGCGTAGTACCAGGGAGAAATATAAATGGACTCTAAAAGTATGGAAAAATTTATTCATGATGGAGACATAAAAGGATACTGACAGGATCAGACTACGTCAGGTCTTTAATGTCATGGAGAATAAACATTTCTTCCTGTAGCATATATTATAATATGGAACCAGAGACAAATACCACAGAACACTGAGCTGGATGAGAAAATGGTTCCACCCAGTGGCAGCATTGACTATATTCTTAAACACATGTGCTGTGCCTTCTTCTTTAACTCTAGAGTAATTTGGGACTTACTAGAACTCTCTTGCTCATGAAAAGAACATGATATTACAGTATGAGGACCAGACATAGAATAAGAATCCCTAGTTCAACAGTATGCATAATGACAAACATAAAGTGGTGAAATTTAATAAATTAAAAAATGTAATGCAAAAAAGTTAAAAAAATCAGAACTCAAATCATTGTAATGACCAGTCTTGATTGGGAAACACTGATGGCGATGGAACATATCACCCTTTCCTTAACAGATAGGTAGTAGACTCACGGGCATGATGCATATGTTGTTATACTATTTCAGGAAAGCACAAGCCATGCTTCACTTTACTCTGATCATTCTGATCTCCTATACAGCCTCTTCATGAACCCCTGCCACTCTTTCCTGACTGCTATATAGGTTCACTTTCTTTTCTCTCCACCTCCCTCCATTTTCTGGAACTATGAACCAAAATCCAATAAACCTGACATGGTTCAACACTAGAGAGTGTCAAGATACTCCCTCGTGGCCTCTCTTACCATCCCTTTCAAGACTAAATTATCCCTGCCTGGACATCATGTGTATGTATTATTTTCATTACTGGAATACAAGCTCCATGGACTTAGTCCTTTACTTTTCTATTTGTTTTCCCAGCATTTAGAGCAGCACTTAAAATATAGTAAGCACTTAATTGATGATTTTTTTTTCAATCATATACTATGAGGCATGATCAGAAGGGCAGGGGTAAGGTAGAGTGGTAGCGTTCGAAAATAATGCATTATAAGGACCAGTAAGGAGAGAGAGAGACAGAGAGATGGAGAGACAGAGAGAGATATGATATAAATATAGATAGAGATGATATAGATATACACAGACTTCCTTTAAGTCCTAGTTCTGCTAAGACTTACTAAAAACATTCATTAACCACTTGACCTTGGAAAAGCATCTTTTTTTAATCTCAGTGTTCTCATTTTTAAATTGGGAATAATAATATGTCAGTTGCTTACTTCATAGGACTGGTAAAAGGAACAAATGAGATAATGGATATGAAAGTGCTTTCTTGTGTTGCTTTTTTTTCTTTTTTTTGGAAATAGTATTTTATTTTTTCAAATTACACAATAAGATAGTTTTTAACATTCATTTTTTTTATAAAATTTTGAGTGCCAAATTTTTTCTCCCTTCCTCCTATCCCCCTTCCCCCAGTTGGCAAGCAATCTGATATAGGTTATACATGCGCAATCATGTAAACATATTACCACACTGATCATGTAGTGAAAGAAGAACAAAACAAAAGGGAAAAGCCATCGGGAAAAAAAAAAGGTGAAAATAGTATGTTTTGATCTGCATTCAGATGCCACAGTTCTTTCTCTGGATATGGATAGCATTTTCCATCATGAGCCTTTTGGAATTATCTTGAATCACTGTATTGCTGAGAAGAGCTTGACAATCACAGCTGATCATCACACAATGTTGCTGTTACTGTGTACAGTGTTCTCCTGGTTCTGCTCACTTCACTAAGCATCAGTTCATGTAAGTCCTTTCAGGTTTTTCTGAAATCCACCTGCTCATCATTTTTTATAGAACAATAGTATGAAAGCATTTTCTAAACCAAATCGCGCTGTGTTATTGTTGCTGTTAATTATGAGTCGTGAACTTTGGTTACTAGGAGACTTAAGCTAAGAGCAGCACTTTATCATGAATATTTAAAACACAAGAAATGATGACTGAATTTGTTAGCCTTTTTTTTTTGAATAAGGAGATTAAGAACTATTGAGACTTCTGTAGCAGAGGTGATTTTTTTCCTTTAGTAGCTTCATATATCACATTTTAACATTATTTCAGGGCCTAGCATTTTGGTGATGTCCACATTTCCGGCTCAATGTTTATGATGCTATATTGCTTTTTTGTATCCCCGGTGCTTAGCACAGTGTCTGACATACAGTAAGTACTTATTATTAATTGATTGATAATTACACTTTCTCATGGAAATTTGGAAAAAAAAAAAGGTGGATGTTTAGAAGATCTAGGGAGACTCTGTTAACAGGAACTTACTTTAGGGAAAATACTGTGAATGAATAATTCACTATAACTATACAATCATAGAACCAGGATAGGTTGTATGGTTCAGTGGAAAGAGCAGTGACAATGGAATGTGAAACCTGGGGCTCAAATGTTACATCTGACACTATTAATGTGATCTTGGGTAAATCCCAGACTCCTGAGGTCTTAGTTACTTTTCCTCTAAAATTTGAAGGTTGGCTTAAATGTCTTCAGAGGTCCATTACAGCTCTACATCTGGGATCTTTGGATCATCATTATCCCAGTCAAAATAAAATATAATCACAGTATTCTAAATAAAGCTACCAAACATCCATGGTATAACTAAGCAATCATATTTCCATCTAAAGAATGTGCTTTTGCTCCATTTTAGTCAGAGAGGTTATAATATACCAGATCATAGGTTTAGAGATGGAAGTTACTTTAGAAGGAATCCAATCCAAAGCCTTCATTTAACAAGAGAGTAACTGGGTCCCAAGGTCACACCGGTAAGGAGCAGAATGGCAGCTGAACCTAAATTCTCTAATCCTAAATCTATACCATGATAAATAATTAAATAATTCTGCGCTTCACAAAAAGGCTCATTAAGGCAGCTACTAATGATAAATAAAAAGTGAGTCCTATAAAACAGGATAATCCCATGGTTTCAGATTTATGGAATACAATTTTATCCACAGGAGTAAGGAAGATGTTAAAAAATTTAACATTAGCTCCGACTTAGCAAACATGAAAGTTCCAATAGATTAAAGAATAAATTGATTGCTTATTACATTATAATAATAGTGTTAGGAGTATTACATCACATTTTTACTCAGTTTTAAATTTGTTTATGTGTAAAAATTAGTCATTCAATTACAGTATGAAAATTATTAACAAAGGTTAAAGAGTATCCTTCAAATATTCTAGCAGCTTGTTCTAAGACTGGACATATTTTCAAAATTATCAGCACGACTACATGAGCAATTTTCATCTCTGCTAGAAATTCAACCATATTTACTTTCAAGAGAATGACACTACCATGGATCAACTGGTCACAATGATGATTCTAATTTTGCAATGAGCTATTTTCCCAGTTATATCCAAAGACTCTTTAGTAGTACACAGCCACAAACAGCTAGGATGAGGCATCTGAATTGTACATACTAAGCAAGGTCTGAAAATAGAGCTGGCATGTATTATTGTCCATTGTAGGCTTTGAGAATTTAGACACAT